CCACAACCTGTTCCCACTCTCGTAACTTTTGATTTGAAAGAATTGTAAGCCGGCAAACCCGTAGCCTTCCGTTTAAAAGCCCCCCCCCCCCCAACTTACAACCCCCACCCCCCTGAATATAAGCACCCCTCTAGTATGTATGGAAGTGAATTCGACTTTTTGGGACGTTTTGAAGCTTAAAAAAAGCGATCAAATTCAAAAAATCAGCTCTGCTATGTAGCTTGTTTTGAAACACTTTTTTTAGTTCGGTCATAAGCCCATATAAGGGCCTAGCCATACTATAATCAAAATTTTCTTGCAATAATTAATCTTTTACGCTTTTGTATCTTATTTTTACTCTATCCTATAGATAATACATTAGTTGTACAATATTAATTAGTACAAGGTTGATTAAACTACGTGTACATAAGAAAAAAAAAGAAAAAAATTAGAATGGAGGAGGCATATTATATTAAAATTAATTATGACCCTTTAACAAGATTGACTTTATTCTATTATAGCTTTGTTAATCATTAAAACACAAACACGCACACACGCACGTAGACACGCGCACAAGTATTTCTTTGACATATTCAAATACAAGACACCAACAGGAACTCTTACACGAAAAACTAAATTATTTAAACACACAAAAAAGGCAACAAATAACACTAAACTAGCCAGGTTTAAAAGACGAGGCCATCATCATCGCTGACCACTGACCGCGCTTTAGCCTGCGAAACGCAGACGCATTTCCAATTGTCGCTTCTCTCCCCTCCCTCTTCTACCTTTTGTACAGCATTCTTGTACCGTACAATTCGACTGTAACACTGAGTGCGGCAAATCGCCAGATGTTCACGGTCAACGTAAACAGTGAGATCGACATTTAAAGCACGATGTATCAAAGACGATATGTCAAAACTGCTTTTACCAAACACACGTATTTTTTCTTTAGCGACCGAAAACGTTCTTTTACAGAGAAAACAAGATTCACCATCGTGGCAGATTTTCTTAGGAGTTTCCCTCTGCATGTTTGAAGATTGCACGTGCCACAGTTGGGAATCGCGCCAATACTCGGGACACGCGTCTCGCAAATTCGCGCGAGAAAAACACGGACTATATCTATCGTGCATTCTGATTGGTCAACAAGAAAACAAAAGTTCTTACGTCACGGAAATCGTTTTGCCGCTCGGGTTCGCAGACGCTATTTTTCGGAGGGAGAGAAGCGACGACCGGAAATGCGTCTGCGTTTCGCAGGCTAACCGCGCTTACGCTTTATGTCAATATAGATTCTGCAATAATTAACCGATTTGTTTTCAGTACTTGTGACATAAATGAAAAGTTCGATATTTTTTGTCCGAGTTACGTTATATGAACGGAAATAAAGGTTGGCGTTTTGCCAAAACATGTACAATTGCTTTGACACATTTTCTTGTCGTCCAGAGTCGAACAATTATGACAATAGGGCCATTTATACGAGGAAAAATAAGACGCGAACTTTCCGTATAAACGGCACATTTCGTCTAAAATAAGACGCGGCTTAGCTAAGACGCGTCTTATTAGATAAGACATGCTCGTATAAATGGTACAGTTCGCGTCTTATCTAAGTTGCGTCTTATTATGTGAGACGCGTCTTATTTTTCCTCTTATAAATGGCCCTAATGAGCCATTCCATTCTGTTTTCTGGCTCGTAACGTTCTTGAGTTTATCAAGGTTTTTTAGAAAATAATGAAAGACATTATTTATTGTGGCTGGGGTAGGGTCTTTTCTCGGTATGTCGCTAGCAGAAGGGAACTGGGACCGAAGAGTGTCCCGCAATTGTTTCTGGGATAGTTACTGGGGACGCGCTGGACAAACAGTCCCAGACGTCTTTGCGAATGTTTACTCGGCCCAGTCCCCTTCTCATTTCAATGGTGGCAAATTGGATGTGATGGTTCTTTTCATTAGGCGCCCAGTGGCTGCAGGTGTCTTATTACGTAGCTCCGTGGGTTGATAGTGATTAGTGCATTTAATACATTACTCGAAATCGGTGAACATCAATCTTTATTTTATCGTGCTAAGCTGTCCTCTAACGAGTCCATTGTGGTACCGACTGCTATGTTGTCTGATCGTGGACACCCACGCTTCCAGGATTTCAATTTCACTATCACTATTGGATATTTATGAAATGGACTCAGGCTGGGTTTAAACTACAGGAGATTTTTCCGGATTCATAAATGTTTCCGGGTTTATCATTTTAGGGCATTCGGAATCTCAGGCGTTCACACACATCAGATAATCAGGCGTCGAGAATTCTACTTGTTTACCATTTCAACCCACCGTCTTTTTTTTAATTTCAAAATCCAAAGCGACTAGAATTCGTTACCATCATCACCAGACGACTTCTTGTTTAAGATTCGAGGAGATCCAGAACTTCGTGAGCTAACGCTGCCGTGTGGTAAACCAGGTACTGTCGGGTGTTATGACAGAAGCGGAATTCTCAAAGAGCCCTTTTAGAAAAAGATAGAAGGCATTAATTCATTCAGGGAAGAGAAACATTACTCATTAAACGATCATCATAACTTACCGGCAAACTTCAAAGCGAAAAATCCGCTTCTGTCAGAACACAGATTTTGAGTGATTATATCATTTGCTGTTAAGATCGGCGCAGATTGCTGTCCGGCTATTCGATCTGCAAACTTGGGCGCAAAATTTTCATCCCTCAAATTGTTACCGTAATGGGGTTCATAAGATTGCCATAACTTGAAAAGCATCCTTCGAACTAAACGAATCGTCAATTTCCACTTTAAAATTTGAGCTCAATGGCCACTCAGAAGCCTCAAAAACAACCGAGATAAAAGCATAATAACATGAGACACAAGAGAAACTTTGCGTTATGACTTTATTCATCAAAAGGGGTTCGTGTTCGAGACCTTAATCGTGTCATGTACTCATGGCAGTGGTGATATTTCAAATGAGTTTTTACGTAATCTGATTTAGGCCCGTTTCAAGCGTCGTGCTACTGCCGTGTGATCGAATTAAATTCGAGTTTAGCACGGCAGTAGCATGACGTTTGTCTACCGCCGTGCTGAACTCAATTCATAAATTATAAATACATCAGAATACATTTAAAAGTTTGCTAAACTGTTTCTTTATTTTTGTGTTTTGTTTTCAGCAACAGCCGTTCTATTCGACTGAATTAAATTCAACGTCTGAAACCAAGTCGTGCTGGTGTCGTGCTGCAGGTGAGCTTCAGGCAAGCCAGCTTAGCACGGCAGTAGCACGACGTTTGAAACAGGCTTTATTGTAGTTTAGATTAATTTAGGAGTTATTCTGATTTTGCCTCGAATAATATGCATGCCCCTCGCGGAAGGCACTTATTTCCAAGACTATTGCATTGTTTAATATGCAATAAAAAATATAGATTTGAAGATATCGACTTGCTATCGACCTGACCGATAAAGTTATCAGATACCTATTTTTGAAACACCACAGCAGGCACAGCTCTTCCGTGAAATGAGATTCACTTTTTTCCCCTTTTTTTTGCACCGCCTTTTATCTTCCAGGTTTGTCCTCGACAATGTTATGGAAACATAATAAATGTTTTCCCAAGCGACGCACCAGGAAGCTAAAAGGTTCGCAAAATTCGAAGTTTATTTGAATCTTCGTTGAATACCTCTGATCTACTGATCGCTGGCAATAGTGATGTTGAACGAAAAATTCATTTGAACAATAAAAATTTAATATTAACGCTAGGCATATTTGATGTTTAAATAACATGAATAAGTTGAAATAAGCTTTCATAGGAAATGCAATTAGTCTTTACTCTTAGTCACTCTGAAGAAGGACGTCCTTAGAGCGGTAATCGTTGCCTCGTGTAGGGAATTAATCGACACCTATAAGAGCAGCCAATAAGAATCTGGTATTTTGCACGGCTTTGATCCAAACCTCTTTCGACAAACAGATGCAGCCAGTTACGGAACAATGAATAATATTTATTATGGAAGGTTGATAGGAAGTGTTTTTTAAACCAAGTTTCGTCTATTAGTTATTAAGATGGACAAAAACCTTTTGACCAGAATATTTTAAGCCAAAATTATCGCATTCTTTTTTACACTTATGGGCTATAAATGTAATAAGTTATATGAAATAACTTTAAAAAAAAGGTTTTTATGGGAGCCCGAGAAAAAAAAAATTCAAATTTCACAGGAATTGAGAAAACACACTCAGGTAAAATCATCATGCGTTAGATTTTATTTTGTTTTTTTGAAGCTTTTGAAGTTTGTTTACTCGGGCTCCAATAAGAACATTTTCTTTGGAGTTATTTCATATAACTTATTACATTGTACAGCCCTCGAAAAGTGTTAAAAAAGAATGCAATATGATTTGAATTATTCCGGTACACTAGGTTTTTGTCCACTGAAAATTAAAATTAACCATTGACAATTTCTTAATGGATTCGTCTTGATATTCAAACTGTGACGCAAATTATAGCAGCGTGCAATTTCCAATCCTGAAAACTGGAAACTCTTTTTCATAGTTGTCATGGCTACTTTGATTTAAACTATATGAAAAGGAGCACTGTTATTTAAATTTCAATTTAAATCAAGAAAATAGTTATGACGCTCAAAGTGACAGACTTCAGAAAAGATTCTCTCTCCGAATACCGTATCGAAATAACCTCTGAAGACGATAAAAGAGGATAAACGGACCGATTTATACGCTTGTCAACAACTGTAAATACCTCAGTGCGAATAACTCCTTCATTTATCCTTAACAAATGTTTTCATTTATTCACATATATAAATTGATTGCTTACTGTATTCATGTTTAGTTATTAATTACTTTTATTATTGAAGAATCGGAGTGTGAATAATGCATGCAAGATGAACTATTCGCTGATTTTCAGATACTCAGGGGTTTGGGTGTAGCATGTTTAACGAACAGCACACCATTAAATTGTTCACAACTGAAAACAAATAGAACTATACATAACTATGGTCTACTTTGCATTTCAGATCCTAACAGCGTTCTTGTTCATCTGAACCCAATGATGGCTGACCACTTTTGCAATCAGGAGCTAGAGAAGCTAGCACAAATCGCTAACAACCACGGAACTTTTATGTTGACGTATTGCGTGCTGAACTTGATTTTCCCTTTGGTGACGTCCCTTGAAAATATCCTCGTCATCCATGCTCTGTGGAATGCCTCATCGATTCCCGCTAATATAAAGAAGTGCTTTCTGAGTCTCGCTTTCTCTGATCTTGCCGTAGGATTAATAGCGCAGCTTATGTCTGGAGTGATGGTTACAGCGTTGATAATTGCAGCGTATAAAAACTACAGCTACTCCTTCCTCTGTCCAACCATACTAACATTTTGTTATTTCGTGAATTTTTTTCTGGCCGGGGCATCATTCTTCACTGTAATCGCTATCGGTATTGACAGATTTCTCGCCATCACACTTCATCTACGATACCGAGAACTTGTCACCTCGAGCCGTGTTTTTATGACGTTAGTTTCCGTATGGCTAATGAGTGGTGTAGCTGCCTGCATATACGTTTCTCTCATTTATACCAGTGAACTTGTAATTGCGATCATTGAAATTGCTGGACTTCTTTTGACAACTGCGGTCTATATTCGCATTTACGGAGTTGTGAAATATCATCAGAATCAGATACACAGTAAGCTTCAGCTTTCAAACTCGGCTCCTGAAGCAAGACAGCTGGTCCGAGAAAGAAAGTCAGCATTCAATGCCCTTGTCGTGTACATTGTATTCGTTACATGTTATCTTCCGTATCTATGTTCAATGATAATGTTGGTAGCACATGGTAATTCTCCATCGTCGTTTACAATAGCTCAGATGGTTGCACTGTTCTTGGTTTTTCTAAACTCTTCGCTGAATCCCTTCCTTTATTGCTGGCGATATCACGAAATTAAGAAACGGGTGAAAAGTACATTGAAGAAAATAGTAACTTGCAATTAATGTCGCCGGGTAGGGTATAATTTCCGAGGGTCTCCGCGATCCTTAAAAAGACATTCAGTGTTCGCGGTTTGATCCTAGGGAACGTAAATTGTGTCAGCTAAAATGTAAATGCGTGAATGCCGATCGATATGCTACACGAAACAAAAAATATGTTAAAACTGAACTGATCCTTTAGAGTATTAAGAGTAATATTAGTTCAAGACATTTAATTCTCTGCAGTTGTTGTTGTTGCATGTTATTTCTCGAATGGGGTTTCATTTTCGGGTTTGGGCCTTTAATTGGGACTAATTTTTATTTGTCTCATCCTTAAATAGGTCGGGGTTTAGGAATCCCTGGGGACTGTGACAATTTGTAATAATTATGGCACTTTGTAATTCCTGTCGCAATTTGCATTAACTAAATTGCACTTTGTCGCAATTTGGAATAAACCGTGTCGCACTTTTCAATGAATAAGTAATAACTGTGCATCGCACTTTGCAATTAACTAAACCTGGAAAGTAGGAGCTTGTGCAACCAGCCTTGTGACGTACTTCCGGTTTAAGGGTTGGGATGGACGGCAACTGCTTTACACAAACATTTTTTGGCTGTTCCAGGGAACGCACTGAAGTTGAAGTATTATTAGAAATGGTAAAGAGGCACTAAATGCACTTTTGGAGCACAAAGATTGACGAAATACTAACTAAACCGCGGATAGCTTTTCGTGCCGACATGAAAACTTATCCGGTGTAGTATCAGCAGTATGAACACCTATCCGATATGTGACACTTAAGAAGAGATCAGCACGTTGCAGCTTCGCCCCGTTACAAAACTCGCGCCGAAATTACCGTGTTTGACGGAACCCCTATCTGGTATGGTTTCTGTGCAGGCGCAAAAGCTATTCGGTATGGTGTGATTAAAGCCTTAATTGTCGCATCAGGAATCTTCGTCACCATTCTGGGAAGTCACACACTTGACGTTAAATTTGCAATTCTTTTCTTCGCTATGGCTACTCAGTTTTGCAATCAGGAGTTGGCGAAGCTGGCACAAGTTGCAAACCATCACGCAGCTCTTATTTTGACGTACCGCGTGTTAAACCTGATTTTCGCTTTGGTGACGTCTCTCGGAAATATCCTCGTAATTTGTGCTATTTGGAACGCCTCATCGATTCCATCTAATGTAAAGAAGTTGTTTCTTAGTCTCGCTTTCTCGGATCTTTTGGTAGGAGTAATTTTACAGCTAATGCATGGAGTCATCACCGGAGTCATACGAACAGAAGTGAGCAGAGACAAAAACTATGACTTTCTCTGTCCGACAGTCCTAACAATTTGTTATTTCCTCACTGTGTTTTTGGCTGGTGCTTCATTCCTCACTATAATCGCTATCGCCGTGGACAGACTTCTTGCCATCTCTCTTCATCTCCGATACCGCGAGCTTGTCACCTCAAACTGCGTTGTTATTGCTTTGGTTTCTGTATGGCTAGCAAGTGGCGTAACTTCGTCGATATACGTTTCTCTTCATAACAACAAGGAGCTGGTAGTTGCGATAGTTCAAATTGTCGGACTTATTTTAACAACTGTCGTATATATTCATTTTTTATATACTAAAACAGTGGATAGTGTTTTTCGCGCGGTCTGATTGGCTACTCAATCAGTGAATATCCTGCACTATTCACTGATTCACCTCCAGTTCCTCCGAGCGACCGACGCCAAACTCGCTTAAGTTGCAATTTTGAAGAAATTTCCCCGCAAGAGCTAAACAAATGCCTTCAAAAGTTTTAGTTGTCGGCAAGAAAAAGCGACGGCCGCGGCCGCCCGGTCATTACGCGCCAAAATTGTAATCGTTAGCAACACTATTTGACTTAAAAATCGTCATTTTTGTGCTCAATGATCTCACTGTTTTAGTATATACTTCGCAGTTCGGTAAATATCCAGGACTAGCCACCTCCACTTCGGTGAATAATTGTTATATATACAGAGTTGTTAAACAACATCAGAATCAGATACACTGTCAGCACCGGTTTTCAAATACTCAAGCAACCGAGTTGCTCCGTGAAAGAAAGTCGGTGTTTAACGCTCTTATTGTGTATGTTGTTTTTCTTGCATGTTATTTTCCTTACTTATGCTTGATGATATTGATAACAGCTAGTGGACCAACAACAGCGACCATGATGGCTGAGATGGCTGCACTTTTCGTAGTTTTTCTGAATTCTATGTTAAACCCCTTCATTTATTGCTGGCGATATCAAGAAATTAAGGAAAGCGTGAAAAGCGTGTTGAAAAAAATAATTATCTTCCAGGCTTTGACTGAACTTTAGCAAGGGTCCACACCAACATAAAAATGGTATCGTGAACAGTCCAAGCTCTTAATGTAGTATATTTGTCCATAAGTTAGCTAATCTATCTAGAATTTTCATTATTGATTAGTATTCTGTTTTTCTTTTTTTTTTTGAGTTTCTCTTGTTTGCTTAAGGGCAATTTTTAAATCATTCATATGGGCCATCTGCTATTTATGTTTTTACCACCATCGAAGAGAAAGATTAACCGGATTTAATTGGTTCTGTTAAAAGACAAATCATACGTGTGCCGTCATTTCATTAAGGAAAATTTTTAAATTACACGAAGCATCTGTGATTCTTGCTTCCTGCCACCACTGAAGAGATAGATTAATATTTAATAATATATGTTAACAAGAGCAAGTGTTAATTGTTACAAGACAAATTAACATTTGATAATCTAATGTGTCACCATTTTCTTAAATAGCTTGCAAATACTTTAAAGGGATAAGGAATAAAAATATTATTATTATTCATTCAAAATATTTCCCCAATTCTGATTTGCTACAAGCACACGCATAATTCACAATAACCAGTTAATGATATCCAAATGTGGAAGAAATTTGTGTTTAACGAGGAAATGACGTCAAAAATGTCGCCCGCTACAGGTTATGGCACTGTTACCGAGAGGACCTGGGACGAGGTGTTATCCACCTCGGCCTTCGTCCTGCTCCTCGATCTGCTTAATTATTCATATCCTACTCAGCCTCATTCATTAATTCCTAATTAATATATACATCATATTAACATTAGAGAATCTGGCACCTATAGTGAATATAGATATTCTCGGCTTGCACTGTCACGCAATGAAAAATAAAAATGCAAACCATTCAATACAGAAGGACTAGAATCTGGGAAATGAAAAAAGATGAATATACAAAAACCCTTGCCAAGAATCAGGTCTGTGAAATATTTCAAATGCGAGATATTGGGAAAAACGGTTTACCTAAATTTATAAAGCTTTGTATGTAAACGCCATGTTGGTGTCCCTTTCAGGAACACCAATATGGCCGCCGGATACCAACAGAGACATCTGTTTTCGAGTTTTCCTACTAATGCACGAATTCTTCGCTTGAGGAACTCATAAAGATTACAGTAATATTTATTCTGAGACAAGGAATGCTTAGATTGCAAAATCTCCCAAAATCGGTAATGTTTTTAACCCACAGAAGAGCTTTCCCGGCCGCCAGCTAAATGCCGCGTCACGCAAAAGCCAGGAAATTCAAGCTTCCTCTCTCGCAAAACGAAGAACCCTTTCGAACCAAAAATTTGTTTATGTAAAGATGTTTAGGTACTCTAATACCTCGTGAAAGTAGAAACTTAGAAGAATCGATAGTTTCTTAGTTTGATTTTTGGTGACCTCACGTGCAACCCAAGAATAGGTTATAAAGCATATTACTTGTGTTAAATGCCTACCCTGTTCCATTTTTCTTCCTTATTTCAATAGAAATTTGATGGTGAATTCTAAGCCTGGTTAATAAAAGGGAAAGATATAATATTTCAGTTTGTCTGNTTGCAAATACTTTAAAGGGATAAGGAATAAACACATTATTATTATTCATTCAAAATATTTCCCCAATTCTGATTTGCTACAAGCACACGCATAATTCACCATAACCAGTTAATGATATCCAAATGTGGAAGAAATTTGTGTTTAACGAGGAAATGACGTCAAAAATGTAGCCCGCTACAGGTTATGGCACCGTTACCGAGAGGACCTGGGACGAGGTGTTATCCACCTCGGCCTTCGTCCTGCTCCTCGATCTGCTTAATTATTCATATCCTACTCAGCCTCATTCATTAATTCCTAATTAATATATACATCATATTAAAATTAGAGAATCTGGTACCTATAGTGGATATAGATATGGGTTATAAAGCATATGACTTGTGTTAAATGCCTTCCCTGTTCCATTTTTCCTTCTTATTTCAATAGAAATTTGATGGTAAATTCTAGGCCTGGTTAATAAAAGAAAAAGATATAATCTTTCAGTTAGTCTGACACAGGCGGCTTGGAAGAAACCATCCGAGTACTGTATTCCCAACAGGAGTCGAACCTGTGACCTACTCATGGTTGCTATACTGCAGATGCTCTACCACTGAGCTACAGGAAACTAGTAGGAGCCAAGAACACTAAACTATTTACGTTCATGTGACAAATGTTCGACTACTGTTAAAAGTACACGGATTTTTTCCTCCAAGCCGTCTGTGTCACTGAATAAATATCATCTTGCTCTTCCTTATTTTATGCTGCACAGTAATATTGGACATAAGTTTTTCTTCTTTAATTTTTGTGAAGAAACAATTTTACTTCACCCGATGTTAACCGTTTGATTATAGCTTACGGCGTTCAAACTTAAACATATAAAGAGGCAAGCTAGTAAAATCGAATTACACATAAAGTGGACTTCACTTTGTGGTTTAAAGAGCGTGCGTAGTGAGATATCGCTCCTTATAAGGTGCGGACAAAAACCCGTACAGTTTAAATACCTTGAAGCCTACATGAGACGATTATATTTCATCTCAAGTCCACGCAAGCCAATTTGCCGTATTGGGACTATTAGTAGCCCGAGTTAATTGCCGGCGAATCAAGCGACAGGTAAAATGAAGAATTATATTTCCGGAGAATTAAACATTTTGAACAAGAACTAGAAGTTTGTAAATGAAATATTAGGAAGTTGTGCTTTTCGGTATGTCTAAAAAATGTTTCTTAGCTGGACAGGAGTATTGGTACCAGTCCATTTCGGTTTTTTACGGTCGAAAAAACAAGTCAGCCCTCTAGTGCTGGAATTTCGTCAAGCCTGCAAAAAAAAAACGACCTTTCGCGAAGAAACCGTTGGTTGCGTCGCGAGATGTTAGCTGTTTCCAGGCTAGAACTTATTTGGTGTGCGCAATTCAGGAAGGGGTTTCAAGCAAATTAATTACTTCAAGAAGTTCATAAACAATGTCATCTAAAATAATTCACCAAAATAATTTTTACCTTTTAATTCTTCTTTTTCTTTTTTCTTTTTCTGGCGTCTTCACTGCCAGTCTCAGTTAGTTCCGTACCACTATTTGTCTGGCTGCTATAAACAGTGTTGCTTTTAGTTTCTTCAAGTTTTCTTTTCTTGTGTTTACGTTTATTTGTTGTTTTTTCGCTGTTGATTCTGACAAAACGAAATCAAACTTAACATCAACTGAAGTAATCACGAACGGCAATCAACATACGCAAGCTACTCTAAATATAGAGTACCGGAAAAAAGAAGCGATAAAATGGCAACTGACATATCTACGATAACGTCACTTTTAAGCTACGTAAAACGGACCCAACAGCTCCCGACATTGTTCAGCTGATTGGCTGTCCGTGCTGGCCTTGGTGTGCCAACGGATGCAACAACTCCCAATAAGCTGGGACCTGTAGCGCATATGGGAACGATACAACCAATAAGACTTTGGGGCGCAAGGATGGCGCAATGGTGAAAGCACTTGCCTCCCACCAATGTGGTCCGGGTTTAAATCCCGGCGTCGACGCCATATGTGGGTTGAGTTTGTTGTTGGTTCTCTCCCTTGCTCCAAGAGGTTTTTCTCTGGGTACTCCGGTTTTCCCCTCTCCTCAAAAACCGACTCTTCTATCAGACCCCGCGCGCGCCTCAACCTAACCCCCAATCTTCTCTCACCTTTAAAACACATAAATAGCGACTGGGTACGAGTCTGGCATAGCTCGGCGTACGTGCATTGGAAACCTTCTCTATTTTTCACCTGACTTAACACTCTCCGGGATTACGATGTTATTGCTGAAAAAAGATCTCTAAAAAAATCTTCAGGACAATAAAAGAAGTTTAAATTTTTAGGTTAGTCTCTGGACTATAAAGGTAAGTGACAGCGGCTCTCTTAAAATTCAGCAAATATTGTTTTCGTCAACGCTATTTTATCTCGCTTCAACTTTCCGTAGTAGTGTAAATCGCGTTCTTCCAATTATAATTTGCCTCCCTTAAAGAACTAATTTTGGACAACACTATAAGAACGGGTTGGAGCGTTGATGAAGAGGGATATATGAAGCGAAGTTTAATCAGTGCATATGATGGTAGCTAACTATTCAACGTCAATTTGCGGAAAATATCTGTTCGGAAGACGATTTGAGATCTAGAATTTTCGGAACATTTTTTTTGTAAAATTTCTTGCTTTCCTGCCACTCCTGGGATTTTCGACCATCCAAAAAAAATGGTATAATTGCCCATTTTTAACGGATTTTTACCCTTAAAAGGTCACCTAGAATTTTCAGGAGCCTTTTTTCTGGCTGAAATTTTCGAAAAGGTATAAGTTTTGATCCCTATAATATTCGGATCACTAGACTTTCAGCTAGGAAATCCGAACAGCTGAAAAATTTTTAGGGTATAAAAATATACCTATCTCCACCGTTTAAACACTAAAATACGTTTAACAATGCTATGATAAAGTAGTTTTGAACTATCTTCTTGTTGGGTGCCCCTGATCTGAAAAGAAAAAGAAAAAGGCTTATCACGAACAAAATGACGTAAAAAGTACGCTTCTTTGGAGGCCAAGGTAACAGCCCGAAGCTACGTGCTCTTTTAAAATTCGAAACGTGAACCTAATTCACTCAGTGTGTTGAAGCTTCTCAATTTAGACAAACAGCTCATGTCTTCAAAAATCTTATGGACCAATTATCATCAGGTTTTTAATTGCTTCGTACTAAGACACTCATCACTCAGAATTTACCTTTTTAGAGTTAAAACTTACACTTTGCTTTGTTTACCTTTGTCCACCTGTTTTTGACCGCAAAAGGTTCCATTAGTAAATCGTACTGACTATGGTAGCGCTGTTCTGCAATCAGAAGTTGGAGGAATATCATGTTCTTTTGTATCGACACAGACCTGTCTTGCTGGCGTTTTGTGTTTTGAACTTAGGATTTGCAGTCCTAACAACCGTGGAAAATGTCCTCGTCATTCACGCTCTCCGGAGTTCTTCAACGTTACCCGGTAACTTAAAGAAGATGTTTCTAAGTCTCGCTTTCTCTGACTTTGCTGTGGGATTGCTGGGGCAGTCGATGTTGGGAATTATTACAGCGACTATGTTGAAAACGACAGCGAATGGAAACTATGACCTCGATTTCTTATGCCCAACATTAATAACTGTCTGTTATTCTGTGATATATTTTCTCACCTGTGTGTCATTCTTCTCCATAATAGCGATAGCTGTTGACAGACTTCTTGTCATTTTTCTCCACTTGCGATATCATGAACTAGTTACCTCAAAACGTGTTATTTTCACCTTCGCGTCCTTATGGATGGCATGTGGTGTGGCTACCTTCATATTCACGCAACTACCCAACCATCAAATAATTTTTGTCGCAGTTATTGAAATCTGCGGACTTCTCGTAGCAACTGCAGCCTACATCTACATCTACAGGGTTATAAGATCTCTGACTACAGTACATCCTCAAAGAGAACATCAACTACACAATCACGTACAGAATAGGAGCAGGGAGAGGAAGTCCGCATCTAGCGCTTTCCTAGTGTATATTGTTTTCCTTGCTTGCTTTCTACCCAATTTTTGCTGTATAATGCTGATGACAAGTAATAGATCTAAGGTGTCTTTTATACTAGCCAATCATATCTCAGGTTTTTTGGTTCTACTAAATTCTTCACTTAACCCACTAATATACTGCTGGCGATATCAAGAAATTCGTCAAATAGTGAAAAATTCACTCAAGAAATTGTTATTTATTAGGTAAAACGTACTAAATGAAAGATTTTCTTTTAGTTTAATTAACTGATAGTTTTATCATGTTAGATACAAAACTATTGAAACTTCGATCTTTAAAGTAAACGGACGGAGAAACCTTACCGGACCCGTTAATTATCGGGACTTTTGAGAAACGGGCCCCTGGCTTTGTAATTTATTCGTAATTTAAAAGAAAACTTTTGAATTTGTTAACCGATGGTAGGGAAAAGAGGTGTGTGATGTTGTCGTCATCTGCGAGAGCAGTGCGAGCTTTGGCGTGTTTGCAAAATTATCTTTCAAAAAATAATTTTTCGGTGAATTACTGAATAGTTTTCTAGCACCTTAATTTAGATTTTACCATCTTTTTGAGAGTTAATTTAAGCGACTTGGGTCAACTTTCTCTCAGTTGCAAGGTAAAACATAACTGTGAGGTACAAAAATATAGTCACGTAGACACTGACGCATACTGGTTTGAGCGTGCGCTACAATAATAAAAAAAGATTAAGTTCTGCATTGATCGCTTTGACAATGTTATTAAACAATTAGTTCATGCTTCAGCTGTGCGCATGTCGAGATATTGAGCAATTGGGAAGTTTGGTGAGCACTCAAGAGGCTAGAGTTGCTCTCGGCTGCGCCTCGAGAAACTCTAATACGTACTCTCCAAACAAATTGTTAAATAGAATGTAAACGAAAGGGGTACCTTTTCTGTGTCAAAAATGGTATATAAAAGGGTAAGAGGTTGGACCTCGGGGTGAAGCAGTCCCCGAATAAAACCTTGTTGAGTACCCACCCCACCCCCCTCCGTAATTGTCTCTTTTTGTCTAACTTTGTCTATTTCAGTGAACTTGACAAACGAAAGCTATCTCTTGGAGACGTTAAGTAAACACCGGCAACATTCGTCACAAATTTTGGGGATCCGGAAATAAGAGGCATAGCTACTTGTGCGCCAGAGCGCACGTGACTATTTCATCGGCTTCAAAAAATGTAGAAGGATAAATAACAAAACAGAACTGAAAAAAAAACGAAACGAGCAAAACAAAAGTAATTTCCATCCAACGTTCCAAGATCGTTATAAGTAGATGAACTGCTACGAGAAAAATGTTTGTTTAAACTGATTTGATTCAGGTGATGATACAGAGAAAAAAGACAAAACGATCTATTTTACATTCGGCTATGGCAAAAACCTGTTCAGATCCACATAACATTTGTTTGTCAAGTATTGTAAGATAGAATTACCGTAAACTTTCGATTATAAGCCCCCCCCCACCCCGCTCCCCATACATCGCAACTGCCACCCTAAGATACTCACAACTCATTGTTATTCACGCGACACTCGAATACACGACACGTCCCAACTGTCAAAAATCTAGTGATAAAAACTCACAACTTGT